CAGTTACCTTCCTCCCATCAAAGAATTTCTCCTAATATATAATCTATAAACTTACTCTCTTCCATATCAATGCCATAATTCCTTGTGCTATCACTGTATGCCATTTTAAAATGACCTTGTGCCTCTCATGCAGGCTCCCTTTAGGTACTGTAAAATACTATAAGGTCTCCCTGGAGCCTTTTCTTTTCTTGGCTTAAAATCTCCAACTTTCCCAGCTATCTACATCTGAGAGGTGCTCCAGCTCTCTGATCCTTTTAACAGCTCTCATCTGGACTCCCTCCAACAATTCCATTCAAAATACTTTTCATGCTTAAATGAATTACCTCAAAATAAAGATTATATTAAACAACCAAAATCATGTTTCTTAATCCTGGGGTTCCATTTATGCTTTAAAAGTATGCTTCTGTACACAGAGAGAAGCACATGCTTTCCTATTAACAGCTTTAAGTTAAATTTGCCACTATTTAATGTACTGTTGAATGTGATTTAATGAATCGTGACTGAAAAGTGGAGTTCCGGGGATATGTCACTGTCAACACATTCTGTCTCTCTGACATGTTGTCATCAGTGATCATGCTTACCCTGGATGAATGGTCTTATGTTCCTCTCTAACACATAATAACTGATCTGACATGCAAAGTTAATGGAAAAAATAAACACATAACACGTAAAAAATGATGGGACTTGTGCTAGTTCCTGCCATGCCATGCCGTGTACTCCAGTTCCTTTTCCTGACTACTCATTTGTCAGCACTGCTGATTTCTTCTAAATTAAATTATGAGGTATTTGAAATGTGAAACATGAGCCTACTGTCTAGAATTAACTGAAGTCCTTTATAAATTATAGATCTGATCTGAAGTAGGAAGACATCAAATAGTTGAGGACAGTAATGAGTTTCTGTGGTTTATTAGATTGCTGGGTGTGTATCCATGCAGGAATTGTTAGAGCTAGAAAGCCTCTATTGAAGTCAAAGATCCTTTTTTTTTTTTTCCAAGTGAAATCAACTTTATATCTACTATGGAAATGGTTTCATACAGTGTACTGTCCTTTCACTAGGGAAAAAAGCCACTGACCACATCAGCTGGGATATAGTCAGGTTGAAGTCTGAATGAAAAAAAAAAAACAAAACATGAGCCATTTCAGTGAAAATATCTGACCACAAAAATTTCAGATTTCCATGTTTTCTTTTCTCATTTATTCACTAGTGCATCTTTACAAGTAAAACCAGCAGTTTTCTACAATTATGTCCCCAACTCCAACAAGCCTACATTCCATAAGAATGACACCCACAATTGCTTAAAAATTTGGAAATCCTCAGTTAAAATCCTGTAGAACTCTGTTTCTCAAAACATAAAAAGTATTTAAGAAAAAAATTCACAACTTGGTAAGCATACTAGAGTGTAATCATTCAGACTGACACAATTTCTCATTCCTTAAGACAATCATATCTTTGGCAAAGAGCAAAATAAAATTATGTAATTATTTATAATAATAAAATTCATTTAATCATAAGAACCATAAAAGCCAGGGTTTTGATCAACTTTTATTACATTATTTTCAATCTTTCCAAGCAAAATTTGCATTTTTAAGTCAATATTTAAGTTCCTAGTGAACTATGAATACTAGAAATAGGAATTGAACTTCCGCAAATCATGTCAGATTATTTGGATTTTCAATATCTGAGAAATTAATTAATCTGAAAAAATTATTTGCAAAGAAGTTAATAGTGGGGGGTTTTTTCAGTACATGTGTTTTACAAACCCAGAAGATTATACAGTAGAGAACAAACTGATCTCATGCAGATTTTAGTAAGACTGCTCCATCACCTGCAGTGAAATATCTCTGATACATGCCAAAGCAAGACATGAACCAGGCTGAATTTTCAAAGTCCATCACTGCTCACCATTGGCCTCTCAGTGCTTCTGTTCCTAATGTTGTCTAGTCAAGCATCTGCTACCAGCACAAGCTCAAAAGGCTTAATGAATCATGCATTTTTTATATTATATCCAAGATTATAATGCACAAGTTTTTGACTTGATCATCTCTGTATGCTTGTTTTTATTTCACCTTATTGTTTAACACACTCTTGCTGCTTTTGTCTGACAAAGACTTCTTTTTCAGTCAGAATGATGAAGAGCATTAGAAAGAACAAATCCTAGCATATAAAGTTAATGGATCTATGAAAAATAAGAAGAGCTATATAAAGAAAAAAAAAAAGAAAATGAGAAAAAAAGGAAAATACCCCAGTACTCCCCCCAAAAAGTACAAAATCCTCTGGAATTTGCTTTATTAAAGCCTTGAATTTGATCCAATAGTCTGGTCTTTCAGTGAATGTCTATGCACCCAGAAGCAGAACAATGTAGCCAGTAAATGAGTGCTAATACCTTTTCTGTTTGATTTCTGGTGTGATGCTCTCGAAATCAAATGGCAGTGGTGGGTAGCTTTCATTCTGGGTGACCCTGTTTGCACACGTGGCTGTCTGGGCATGGCCTGGGGATATAAGATCTAATGTGCACTCAGGTTCTTTCATTTCTGTCAGAAATATTAAACATTTTTTGAGAAAAATCAAAACATAAAATAATATAAGAATATCTTGCTCAAACTTTTTGCAATTTTCTATTTAACTTCCTTTTTTTTTTTTTTTTTTTTTAAATATTTTTTTTTTTTTTTTTTTTTTTTTTTTTTTTTTTGAAATAGCATTTTTTTGAAGATTGATCCTTTATGTCTTGCTGGGAGTTTAAAATATTTAGTAGTTCATGTAAATGTTCAGCACAGATCTAATACAATCCCAAATATCTTTATTTTAAGTGTTTTCTTCCAGTTTGGTTTTGAATATAATAAAAGATCTGTGATTTAGATAAAATTTTGTGGTAAATTCTGTTACCAGAGAGAGAGCATGAAAGCAAGTGTTCTGCATGACTGTGCAAATCACAGAATAAAGGTTTATGTCTTAAATTATGTGGAATGTCCTGGAATTTCTTTTTCATCAGCTGATCATCTCACCCAGAGCAAGATAAGCAAAGTGATTTTGCAAATTTTAACACACACCCTTATTTCACATTTTGACTCAGCAAGAGAAGACTTTTTTTTTTTTGACGTACCTAATTATTAAAACATCAGTAGATATTGTGACCAAAATCTAATATTATTAAAAATTAAATTAAGATAAAATTTAATATATTATTATAAATACATTGAATGCATATGAAAATGTGCCACTTGGCAGTATGGTGTTGGAATCACAGTCCTGAATTTAGACATGCCAGAAATCACAGAAATTAACTGCCATGGATAAGTATGGTCTTTTGATTCTTGAACTTACGTCCCTTATAAATAACAAAGTACTTGGGCTTCCTTAATCTGACTGAAATAGAAATGAATGTAACATGCAGTAATACATGTACTATATAGTAACATCTGAATATTTTTTTGATACAAACTTTGATTTAAAATATCTTATTGAGAAATGGATGTTTAAACAAACCCACCCCAGTGTGAGGAAAAGAATCTGTAAATAGCCTGTAGAAATAAAATCAATGTACATAAATAGACATGATAGTTTAAACAAATATTGCTTTGAAAAATAATTGTACTGACTGGATCGTGTATGTTTGTAGTTAGTGATTTACTGATTGTCTGTTGTTGAACTCTGTGCTTTTGGTTTCAGTGGACTTTTCATCCCCTCTATCTTATATCTTGAAGGTAAAATCCATTGTTTATTCTGGATATACTATATGATAAAACATTTTTGACATGTAGTCCAAACATCCCATGAAAGATAATCTTTTTAGATTGTGGGAGGTCTTTTTGCTGCTACATGCTGTGATTCAGAGTAATAAATGAAAGATGTGTAATAGTGTGTGGGGATGCACTGGGACTACAAAAAAGTATTTTTGTAATCACATACCTCATAGAAGGCTCAGAAATTGTTGAGGTGCTGTTGTCTTCATGGTTTTGGGTTAGAGGGATGAGGTCTGAAGGAGCGGGTAGGAGAAATACGTTTTTAGAATTAAAAATATTTTCTGTAATGTCTGTATTTTCAGGACAGAGTATTAAAAAAAACCCAAAAAAACTCTGAGGTTCAAATTTTCACAAGTGTCTTTTTTGGTGTAATATTTTCCCCTCTGTATTCTCAAATAAGCACTATAGCACTGATCTCAAAGAGTGCTTAATCAAATAATATATGTACAATTTTGAATATTGGGGTTTTTTTAGATAATTCGAGAAATGAACATTACTCAGTTGTTATGGGCTAGAAGTAACTTAGAGGACCAAAAACTATAAAATAGTGTGGTCCATTTAGAAAAAACATAGGTCAGTGAAATCAAGAGAAACTGATGATCTTGGGTGTTGGTAGATGAGAAGCTTGATGTGACCCAGCTAGGTCAAGGGGGAATGGCTTTAAACTGACAGAGGGTAGTTTTATATATATGGAAAGAATTTTTTACTTCCATTTTACTTTGAGGGTGGTGAGATACTGCCACAGGTTGCCCAGAGAAACTGTGGATGCTCCATCCCTGTAAGTGTTCATGATCAGGTTAGAGAGTGCTCTGAGAAACCTGGGGTAGTGGAAGATGTTCCTGCCCATGTCAGAGGGATTTGAATTAGATGATCTTTAATGTGCCTTCTAACCCAAACCATTCTGTGGTTCTATGATGATCTAATAGTTTTAAATGTAAAAGTAAAGATTCTGGTAACTACTGCAGTGGAATTTTCAGATGAATATATGAGAAGTCCAATGAAATTGAAGGGGCATTGCAATTATGAGATCTATATTTCATCTGTGAAAAAGAGCTGCTGAGAGTGGGCTGCTGTGCAGTTAGCTACCAGGGAAGGGTGGGTGGAAAACCAGCACAGAACAGAATGTCTATGAGGTTGAGAAAAACTATTGTGCCTTAAGAATGATCACTGGAGGAAAAGACTGTGAACTGTAAGGAAGTTGAAAGAGATCACTGTGTAATTGTGAGGCTCAAAAAAACAACACATAAGGCAGAAAATTAGGTGGCAAATATCTGGTATTTATTCAAGCTCATGGTGATATTTTCAGTAGTTTCTTTTATACAAATCATTTATCTTTCATACATTCCATTGTTTAATCTGAATGTTTATTTCAAAGTGGTATTAAATTCTTTGTGTAGCTTAGTGGCATTCCAACTTCGTAGTGACATTATCCTGATCACCCCTCAGTCTGTGATCACTTCAGGATGTGTTTTGTTTGAATGTTCTGGAAAATGAGGGGTTTTGGGTTAAGACTATGCAAGAGAAAGAGTATATACCATATATAGATACAGTCTTAAAAATGGTCTGGCAATTATTTTAAAATAAACATATCCTGAAGAAAAATGTGAAAAGAATTTGCAATTTTGAATCTTGATTTCCAATCCATATTCTAAATCTGAGTTTAAAAATTTGTTTACTTACAGGATGCACTCCACCTGGGTTTTGGGGGGAAATGAGAAAGACATTTCTGTTATGGATGATATCCTTCTTGTCCCATGAAAAATCTAGTAGACATAATATTTATCTGGATTTATTATAAGGAAGAAAAATGTATTAAAGCTGAAAACACAAAATCCATATAATAATAATTAGTTGTAGTATCTATATATTTCCAGTTTTTTAAAGTATTGGTTCCAAAAATAAACTACTCCCTTTCAATCATAAATATTATGTCTGACATGAGCCATTATATTATTGCACCTTTCTTGGTACCAATAGTTCAAGGGATATTTGAGGCAGGAAAATAAAACCCTTTATTATATTAAAGGGTAAAAAAAAAAATAGTAACTTACTGTTCCATGTTACAGACCTGAATATAACTGTGACTATCTTTAAGCTCACTATTCTTCAAATTTATATAAAGCTAATTTTTTTTTACATTCAAAACTTAATTAATAGGAAGAATTTCCAAGAAACAGGCAATAGATTAATTCTCTCGAGATAGACTCTTGAAATGTATGGAAGGAACAAACCAGCAGAAATTTTGCCTGCACATCACATGAATTTTATTTTGCCTGCAACATTTATAAACTTCTAGTACACTTTGTGTCATTCTCTCCTCTCAGGTCAGAGTGGGAAAATACTTAGTGTATTTCCATCTGGGTGAATTGATGTTTATGCACTATGTCATATGCCATAATGGGCAGATATAAATAAATGGATTTTGAAAGAAATCTGCATGAAGCTAAGGTTCAGATCCAAAAAAGTATTTATGTGCCTTAAGAAAGACTTGGAACAAATTAGTGGCTCATTGATCCTGAGAACTACTAAGCTGCATCTGTTTAACTCCAGAGATGGTTAAAAACTGTATTATCCTCTATTTTTGAACACTGCATGTCACCAGATGCCATGGTCTGGTTCTATATGTGCCTCAATTTGACACAGTGATTGTGCCATTAAATGTTTAATTCATGCTTAGTACCTGGTGTCTGATCATAAAATGTCTTTGGACCCTTCAAGACAGGAGAAGAACTATGGCTGTCTCTCATGGGAATCAGCTGAATCAGAGGATAATGTTCTCTCAAAGGATTATAAAATCATAGAATTCTGTAATAGTTCGGCTTGGAGTGGACCTTAAAGCTCATCTAATTCCAACCTCCCTTGGTGTCCCAGGGCCTCCTTCCACTTGACCAGGTCACTCAAAGTCTAATCCAACTTGGTCTTGAACACTTCCAGAAATGGAGCATCCACAGCTTCTCTGGGCAACCTCTGCCAGTGTCTCCCCACTCTCACAGTAACAAATTTCTTCCTAATATTTAATCTAAGCCCATCCTCTGTTTATTTAAAGCCTTGTCCTGTCATTACATGCCCTACACGCAAAAAGTTCCTGTACAGCTCTTTTGAGGGTCTCCTTTAGGTGCTCAAAGAATGCTATAAGGTCTTCCCAGAGCCTTCACCAGGCTGAACAACCCCAATTCTCTCAGCCTGTCTATACAGGAGAGCTGTCACATCCCTCTGATCATCTCTGTGGCCCTCCTTGGGACTCACTCCAGCAGGTCCATGTCCTTTATATCATGATCTCTTCTCTGTCCATAGTAATATTTATAAGAAGGGTCTCAGTTTCATAGGAAAGTAAGGAAATGGGCTAGCTAGCCTGATGAGGAGATCAGACACTAAGGAGGAAACCAAATTGACCTAGAAATAATTCTGAGGGAATGATGCTCTGCCCATCTTCTCTAAGTGCTGTAAAGCCCAAGCTACTGTGGAAAGGGCAGCTGCAACATTTCAGATAAGGTTTTAAGAGAGTAACCTTTGATTCATTTAAAAAGAAAAGGAATGCACTTAAAGCTCCACAAAAAAGGTCCATGGGTGAATACCTAGGCAGATAAAATGTTTCCTCATGGTCCTGACTATCACATATTGGATGGGAAAATTGGTGTCCCACCCACCAGTTTCAAGGCAGCCATATCTGATGAACTGTAGAGAGCCCATTGCCCTATTGTCCATGTGGGTGCAAGATCCTACTTTATTGCTTAGAAACCTTCATTTATATGCCATTGAAAATATCTGCATTTCAGTTTTTAACTCCATTTGCATCTACCATCTGATGGCAATTGCTGATTTAGAGTTTTGTCTTGGCTCACCTCAGGTCAGTTCTTCAACAGAACCTGTAAAAACATGGTGCTGTTTCATGATAAACTTTTTCTCAATGGCATTTTTCTCACTTAGTCACAATGACACCTCAAAGAATATTCTGTTTCTGTTAGATTTTAATCAGAAAATAAGAGCAAGAAATTGGATGTAACAATCTTCAGGGGTATATATCAGTGAATGTGTACAAGATGGCTCAATCATTTTGTAGGAAATACAAACAGATAGAAATACGCAGAAATGAGCATTTTCATTATATTTTGGTTAGAGTTTTGTTCTTTGGTCCTTGGCAATCAAAACTGCATGCCAGATAATTTCAAAATGATGCCTTGTCACAACAAAAGATATATCAGGAAAAAATCAGCCTGACTTTGAAATGTTTTTTCCTACTCTTCTGTGTTCCTGTATTAATGGAGCTCTTTCCAGCTTCTACAACTTACCTACATTTGGAAAAAGTCACTTACAGCATAGTTACCCAATTTAATCAGCATAATGCTTCTGATATAGAAGCAGTGTCATGAAGACCCATTTTAAACTCTTAATTTGAAATTAGTGCATCTTCTGTTGCTATACTGGAAATCCAGGAAATTTAGAAAGATTATCCAAGATTTTGATATGTTCATCACAGATATTTTAAAAAAAAACAGTTCAGCATTTGTAAAAGAGACATGCCCAAATTCCAACCTGGGCATAGCACACCCATGAACACTGGTTGCATTGGCAGAAAGGTATAAAATGTCAGAAAGACTATAAAAAGCTTTATTTATTCAGAAATAAGTTTTTGTGTTAATCCAGTTTAAGAGCCTTTTTTGAATTTTGTGGAAGTAACAATTAGATAGAGAAAACAGGAACTTTCACCTCTGAAGTGCATATAATTAATCACTTCATTTCCTTTCTTCCTCTCCTCTGTTGCCACTTTATGTGAATATTGAAATAAATCAATTCCAAAAATATTTTTAACTGCATTAAAAATAATGCTTGAGTAATGCTTCATTATTTAAGCATTCAGTCTAACAAACATCTGTATGGAAAAGAGCATTTCACAAAGCACTGCAGATGCAAAGGTGAAAATAGATGATGACAGATAAGTATGAAGAATGTAGTTGCAATATTTTAATTACCTCTAAAGTGTAGCTGCCTTTTCCTGATGGTGGACTGGTATGCAAGTAAGTCAGTGACATGAATTTACTTCTAACTGCTGCAAAGGCTTTGCTGCAAATTTAAGCAATATTAAATAAAATCTTTACAAAATGTCTCATAATACAAAACATAAATATTGTATGTGAGCATGCCATGAAAATTTATGCAAAAAAATGAGAAAATTATAATGCATTTTGTCAAAAGCAATAATTTATTTTTCATACAAAAGAAATTGATTGATTCAGAGTACTAGTTCACAAATAAAAAATGAACATCCTTTACAGATGAAACAAAAATACACTCAAGTAAAAGAAAAAAAGTTTATTAGGCAGTTCCCCATTACTTTTTCTCATGACTGGAATAAAAGAGGGAAGATTTCACTGCTCTCTACCTAAAAGGAGGGTGTGGTGAGGCAGGGGTCTGTCTCTTCTCCCAGGTAACAAGTAATAAGATGAGAAGAAGTATATGCTTGGATACATGTGTATCCAAATATCATTGCTTCTAGTTTTATTGATTTTTTTCATTGCAAAGTCAGTTGGGATATAACATAAGGGCTTTCTATATTTTAAGGGATTTGGAGTTTTCATTAACCTAGCCAGATCTGAGGTATATGTGGGTGAATGAACTCTCTCTGTGGCACAAACAAAAATGAGATAAAGCCAATGAGATAAAGCAATAAAACATTTCTAAGCTGGCAGGTTGGTTCATTTGCCTAAAGAAAAGGCTGCTGAATTACTTCCTACTCTCTGCTAGGCAATCTCTTCTGTTGCTGTCTTCCAGAAATATATTGTCTTCATGTTACAAACACATTTGTTTGAGAATATGCTCAGGTGGGTTGAATAGGTCTTCAAGGTCTACTGGAAGAAAGATGTACTATATGCAGATGATGGGTATATCTTAATGTAGGCATTAATCATTAAGCTTTACTACTGCACTGTTCTCTAGAACATCTTTTTTCATGTAAGGCAGTATCTTTACTCACTTCTGTGATATATCACAGGGGAACTGTCTCAACAGGTTGTTAATGCTAAATCTATCCTAATGGAGTTTAATTAAAAACCATATTTTGCAGCTTTAGTCAAAAGAAAACACAATGGTGCTTCCAATCTTGACGGGCCCATTAAGGCATACAAGTCATAATATGTTATTTTTCAAACAACGATGATGTTTTATTTTGATGTCTAATTTATTTACATGGGTTAGAAAATACTTTTACACTATAACCAGAACTCAGTAAGATAATACACAAGTTAAATAAGAAAAAAAAAAATCAAATATAATGCTCAAAAGTCTTTTTCTTATCTTCAAAGTGGGTGCACTAAAAAACATGATTAATGGGGGGAAAACAAGTGAATTGTTATTTTTTATGAGTATAAATAAATCCCTTCTTCCTTAAAATCCCTTTCAATCATCTAAATAGAATATTTCATAAGAAACACTTGTCAAATAAGAAAGTAAAAAGAATATTTCTAAAGGTTTTACATATATTCATGCATACTTAAAACAGATTGAAATGCATAGTAGTTAGGAAAATGCATCTGACAATAAATTAAAAACTTATTTAAGAATAAGATCTGCTTTAAGACTTTGTATAAGAAATTCCAACAATAAAGAATAAAGTGAAATCTAGTCTTATATATATTAAACTTGCTATTCATAGAAACCAAGTTGGGTGTGGCTTTAAGCTCTGGGGATTTTGTGCCTTTTAATTTTTGATCAAATATCCATTCCAGATGCTTAAAAGTAGTTAATATCATTCTCACAATATGAGGCTGGAAGAGTGCCTAATTAATACAATTAATCATTTTATAAATGAATTTTTCTGAACATACATATGTTTATAATTTTCAAAAATGCATAGTGAATAATTCAGGCAATAAATCATGCTATTTGTTTCAGAATTGAAGTACATAATGTCATTTAAAAGTATTAATTCTTCTTTTATGTTTCCTTGAAAAATATTTTCTCTCCTATCCCAGTTTCCAGGATTCATAGAATCATAGAATATCCTGAGTTTGAAAGGATCCACAAGGATTATTGACTTCACACAAGGCAATTTGAAAAATTTGGTACATTTTAATATTTTTAAATCCATCCTATATTTTGGAAATCAAGATGCACATAGTACTTGAGGTGAGGCTGCAACAATGCTGATTACAATGCTAGAATTCCTTCTTCCAGCTGGTTAGCTATACTGGGCCTAATGTACCACAGGATGCACTTGGCTCTTTGGCCATCAGGGCACATGGCTGACTCATACTGAGCTTCCTAGAACTTCTTTCTGCAGGGTTGCACTTTGCCCTCATTTTATACCTACATCCAGGATTACACCATCCCACTGGCATTTGCACTTGTTAAAATTCCTCTGGTTGGTGACTGCCCAGCCCTTTAATCCATGAAGGTGTCTCTGTAAGGGCCTTTCTGCCCCTGAGGAAGTCAATAAGTCCTCCTAATTTACCTTAGTTGACAAGTTTAGTGTGCATTAAATTCCAGCATCCAGGTCTGATAAAAGTGTTGATGGGAACTTGCCATAAAACTGAGCCCTGGAAAACAGCACTAGTGACTGGCCACCAACCAAAAGTTGCCTTATTTACTGCAACTCTTTGAGTCAATGCAGGCAGTCAGCTGGGACAACCACAAATTTATGGCTAGAATGGATAGAGTAAATTTATTTTTGTTACTTTATTAACCAGGTAAAGCAATACCTAGGCAGAGGCTCACAAGCAGAGACACAGACTGTTAAACAGAGCCCGTGCTAGGAGGTTCCTGGCCTGCTGTTCACACAGACTGATCAAGAGTTATTCCCAATTGCAAGATCACTTGAGCAATTTCCAATCTCCTCATCAACCTATGCTTTTTAACCCATGCCTCTCAACACTTTTCAGGTCCAACTCTTCAGCCAATTGTTCACATACTTTATTGTATACATGACTGGATAGTTTTATAGAAGAATATAATTTGAAAAAGTATAAAAAGCCTTTCCAAAAACAAAGAAACAAACAAAACCCAAAACCCAAACAAACAAAAACTCCAAAAACAAAACAAAAACAACAAAAACCCCCAATCAAAACAAACAAAAAATGCCAAAACAAAAAAACACCTGTCTGGTACCTTCTCCTTACCCATTTGTCAGGTAACCCTGTCATAAAAGTAAATTAGGTTAGTGAAGCATAATTTTGCCTTCATGAACCTATGCTAACTTTGAGTGATGACTGCATTGTCTTTCAAGTGTTTTTCAATAATTGCCCCAACAATCTTCTCCATAATTTTACTAGGCACTGAAGTGAAACTGACAGGTTTATAATTACCAAGGTCTTCTTTCTTGCCCTGTTGGAGATTCTAATAACATTTGCTAGCTTCCAGTTATCTGGAACTATTGCATATTCCCAAGACCATTGATAAATAACTCTTTTTGTTGTTGAGACCTCTCAACACCAGCCAGATCTTTCAGTATACCAGGATGAAATGTCATTGTTTCCAAATTAAACCATTAAATGTTAGAAAACTATTCTAGTTGAAGTTAATTTGATCTTGCTGAGGAAAGTGGACAATTCTACTCTTATCCCAACCCCAAATATTTATTCTTTTATCTGTAGAATTAGAAAGCTGCAGGGAATACAAGCACTACACGTAATCCCATCCAACCCATCAGGATATACCTAAGTAATTTCTGAGAGAAATCCATGTAAAACAAAGTGGTCTAGACTCTCCAAGCTCATCAGAAAATCTATACTTGTTTGATGATATCTTTAGAACATCTTTTCCTTTATATCACCCACATATTTCTGGTAAAAGCTAAAACCTAAATATAAGTAATGCTTCACAGTCTTCCAACATTTTTTTGAGTAGGCAGCTATCATTAATTCAGTTCTTGTAGGCACCAAAGAGCATCAGATGCTGAGCATCTCTTAAAATAAGTCAATCTCATGTTCAAAATTGACACAAATTTCACTACCAAACTGCAATAACCAAATAAGTAGTTTTCATTTACTTAGTAGTAACATTTCACTCCACATTTCTACAAGTCACCTCTAGTGAGGTAGTGGAATATTGAAAGAGATCCGTTGTACACATGCAGTTTTGGAAATATTGACTAAGGTATAAGTATTATTAATGCTGCCTTTTAACTCCTCAGATGTTACTGGATAGTGAAAAAACTTGGCAAAAAATAGGGAATTTGATATGGGTATTGCCCAACCTTTTTTGTGGAAATGATGAATATTTAAAATGAAATTTAAAAAATATTTAAATTCAGAGTCTGAATATTTTAAATATGGTCCAGTGTTAAGTAATGTTCATTATTGTAACACCAACATTTTGGCATGTGCACTGACAGAAAAGTTCTTTTTCCTGAGAAGAACTTGATGATGCTTTGTCTCAGTTTATTCTGTGTTTCCATTCAGATTGCCTGGTGGATCTTGTTGAGAATTACAGCATCTAACTTGTATGCAGAATCATCTCTAAAAACATTAGGCTATGTATAAATTTCAGAAAGTCTTACCTTATATATATGGAAAGAAAACATTCTATCCCAAACATGCAGAAAATGTTTCTCTCATTACTTTTCTATTCTGCCTTCTGTGTTACATACAGTAAACCATTAAGAAACAAGGATTTAAGTAGGTTTTTTCCCAACCATCAGAGCTGTGAAGTTGATGAAAGTCTTCCCTACCCTAAGAGTTGCCAATGCCTAGCACAGGATGCTCAGTGAAGGGGTTAGTCACTCACTTTCAGTGAAGTATTGACAATTCATGTAAATGTTACCTGCAATTACTGCTTAGGTCTGTGATTGTATGAGTCCTGAAATTACTTTTGATTAGTCTAAGTTGAAAAAACCAATTTTTTCCTCTAAATGAAGTGTTAGTTCAAAACCCAAATATTCTTTCAAGCCTTGATCTAAATTGAAATAATGGTTCTGTGACTATATGTTAATTGATGAGCAAGTTATTATGATAGATATTGTTTCCTATTAGTCAGACCATTAGCAGATATCCTAAAAGTCTTATGCTTTAAAACCCTCTTAGAAATGTGGTGATCTTACATTCCTTTCTCCTCCTTCTACCCTAAAATAT